TCATACCACATCCCAACTGGAAGACAGCCATTGGTATCAAAGATAGACCAACAGCGTTTAGAGGGGAACATTTTCACTACGTGTCAATAGGACACAAAACTCACCTCCAGCCATGAGACATTGGTAGTTTTGGTTATGTTAAAATCAGAGTCTTCTGTTTGTTTAAAAGGATTGACAAAATGCTCCCAGAGGAGAGTCACTATGCACAGGGCAAGTAACTAACACAGGACTCATAGACATATTTTTAAACACTCCCACCAATCACTAAAAATAATCAAGCTCCATGAAAAAAAGACAAAGCTGTGCATATTTGATAGAACAAGAAATAAAAAATGAAAACGTGTTTAATTTCAGTAGCCACCAGAGAAAATAAAAATCCTAAACATATGCTTAAAAAATTTTCTGTGTCTTTTTGAGGTTGGATCTCATGTAGCCCAGGCTGGGCTTGAACTTGCTATATATCCAGGGATGATCTTGAACTTCTAATTTTCCTGCTTCAACCTGACCTCTCAAATGCTGAGATTGCCATTCTATGCCACTATATCTAGGTTTTTCATTTTGTTTTGTCTTTTTTTGTTTTCTCTGTATAACAGCCCTAGCTGTGCTGGAACTAGCTCTTGTGGACCAGGCTGGTCTCAAACTCACAGAGATCCACTACCTCTGCCTCCCAAGTGTTGGGATTAAAGGTGTTCAACAACAACACCCGACTTGTTTTGTTTTTTAATATGGTGTTGAGGAGCAACTCTAGGTCTTCATGCATGTTAGGAAAGCACTCTGCCAACTGAGCTACATCCCCTAGACCTTACACTAAAATAAACAAAAGAGGAACTGGAGAGATGGCTCAGTAGTTAAGAGCCCATGATGCTCTTTCAAAGAACCTGGGTTTGGTTCCCAGGCCCCACATGTAGCTCACAACCTTCTATAATTCTAGTCCCAGGGAATCCAACGTCTTCTTCTGATATTTGTGGGCACCAGGCATCTATGTGGAGTACCTACATCCATGAAGGCAAAATACTCATAACAATTTTTTTAAAAAAAAAATCTAAAATCAAGCAAAAGAGAACAGCTAAAATGTGAAAGGAAAGTATTAAGTGTTGGTGAGGGTATAAGTCACACCACAGCTCTTGTAGAAATGTATGTTTATTTTATGTGTAAGTATTCACATCTGGTGTCTGTGGGGGGGGGCTATGAGAGCTGAGCCCATGGTCACACATATGGAAGGCACATGCTGTATGACTAAGCTACACACTCAGCCCCATACACGTGTCTCAAACTCAGCATTGCTAACCGAAGAGAAAAAGACAAGCACTCCACATGTGCACAGCAAAGAAAACCGTTATCATCAGTAACTGGAAACCACACACATTCCCATAACCAGCAGGATCAGCATGGCCACATAAAGGATTTACAAACAAGAACCTCATACGCATATAGGAGCGAGAGAAGCACTCACGGAGGAGCAGATGCTGTGGGATTCTCTCTTCCACCGTGTAGATCCAGGCAAGAGTGACCAATTCTGTCAAAATCCAGCACTGTGCTTATGATGAGGGGCATGCTGGGACTGGTAGAGGGGAGGCTAGCAGAATAGCATCTTAATCTGGATGCTGGTGCCATGGCATGTTAGGGTTGTGGAGTTCGCTAAGCCGTGTAACAACAGAATGTGTTCCATTCTACAACACATTTCAGCTCCAAATGTTAAGAGTAATGAAAGCGTGACAAAGGGTTCAAGGGACAAAAGAAAATCCGTTCTGCTTGCTTTGACAACACAGTAAACTAACAAAAACTTTAAGTCAGTAAACTATGAATTCAAATAGATGTTTTGACATTTTTTTCACTTTAAAGTTTCTTTATTTTTACTTTCTTTATATTAATGATTTGCCTGCATGCAGGTATGTGTAGCATGTGCTTGCCTGGGGCCTGCAGAGGTCAGATGAACACATCAGATCTGTGGGAACTACAGTTACAGGCAGGTGTGAGTTCCAGCACCATGTGGATGCTGGAAATGGAACCCAGGTCCTCTGGAAGAGCAGTGAGTTAAGAGAGCTTAACTGAACCATCTCTACAGCACCTCAAGGAGATTTTTAATGAAATGTCAAAACTGTTTATATTGAAAAGAGGGAAATAGCAAAAATAAAGAAAAACTTTGGAATAACATCATTCCTCAGTTAAAAACTAAGTTGGAAATAACTGTAAATAATTTACTAAAATCAAAATGTTCAATAAAGAAAGACAAGATAGCTGGGTGGTGGTGGCACACACCTTTATCCCAGCACTTGGGAGGCAGAAGCAGGCAGATCTCTGTGAGTTTGAGGCCAGCCTGGTCTATAAAGCAACAACAACAATAACAAAAGACAAGATAGTCATAGAAAAAAAAAAAACTAAAGAGCTAAAGCAAGTGGAAAATACACAGATGTCCAGCATAAAACTTCCGGGCAGAACAGCAGATATCTCATCAATGTGCACACTCAAGCCTCATAATCTGTGAACGTGTTAGGGTACATGTAAAGGAGCATTCAAGGCTGCAGATGGAATTAAAGTTGGTAATAGAAAATATTAAGACAGAGATATTGTCCTGGATTGTCTTAGTGCACAAAAGTTATCACAGGGCCTGTGGAAGTGGAAAAGAGAGGCAGGAAAATTCATGTCAGAGTGAAGGGAAATGAGAAAGACGCAATGACTGCCAATGGCGCTGAAGACCAAGAGAGGGGCTCAGAGCCCTGGGGTGCAGGAAGGTTCTAGAAGTTGAGAAAGACAAAATAGAAGACTCTCTTCTAGAGCTTCATGTCCTACTTATGCCTTGACTTTAGGTCAGCCAAACAGTAGATTACCAGACCCAAAACTGCGAGAGAATACACTTCTGTTGTTTTAAGACAGCTGGTCGTCATTTTTCATAACAGTATACAAAAAACTAATACAAAACCAATAGAAGGTATTTTTATGGACATAAGAACAAATTCCTCTGAAATTAAGCAAATATTTTTTTATCTAGGAATTCAGAATATCTAATATATCAAAACCTCTGAGTCATGGCCTGATTAAGCAAGGAACTGTGAGGGAAAGAAAAACAGTCTTCAGAAATTCCTGAAGAAAAGGCAAATTACCCATCTAGGAAGTCAGTCGACTGGAGGCTTTCACCATGACAACATCAGCTACTAGACAGACAGTGAACACGTTACCAGGTGTTGAGGGAAAAGAGCAGTCTAGGCTAGGAACACTGTGTACAGCCAAGGCATCGTCCAAAGGCAGATGATGGTGTTCTCAGTGCAAGCAGTTCAAGACAGCTGTTAGACTTTCCTAGCAATGAGAAGCAGCTAGTCAAGAGGTTAAGCCCCACCATGAAGAACCTGGGAGTAAGCTATGCTTAAAAGGCTTAGCCAGTGCTGAATCTAGGAGAACACCGCATGAACACCAAACACTCTGATATTACAGCTACAGTTCAGACTCAAGTGTTAGAACCTCAGCAGTATGAGGATTGCAAAGTGGGCTACAAGACCAGGATATGGGTGGGAGAGTAGAGTGTGAGGCTGCAAACATCCCCCTCTACTGCCAAAGCACCGAGATTCCCACGATGAAATGTCGTCCTGATAACAGCATAATGGCCCCATCCTCAAAATGTTGTTTGTCCCCTACTCCCATTTATTTATAGTTCTTCTTTTTTCTCCCCTCCCCTCTTTTCTCCTTTCTATTCTGTTTTTTTTATAGACACCCCAGCCTTACATTGTAGCCCAAGTTGGCTTCAAATTCATGGCCATTTACACACACACACACACACACACACACACACACACACGCTTCTTGAATGCTGGGATTACAGGTGTGATCCACCATACCCGGCCTGTTCTTTCTACTTCCTTTTCTTAGCCCTAGAGAAATATGTAGTAAATCAAAAGTCCCCAAAGGCCACAACTATGGTATCAAGCAACAGAAGCTCAGAGGGCCTTGCTCAATCTAACCAGGCTGCTCAAATGTCATCAACGTCTCTCTCACTGCCCACACAAGTCAACTACTGTGGGACTCACATCCCTTTGGGGGCTCGCTAAATGTCTGACTCTCTTCCTCTGTTGAGAACAGTGCTTTATTGAGCACCCAGACCCGAAGACGAGATTGTGGACACATATGTGCTCTTGGGGTTCCAACATAACTTTGCCCTAAAGGTCTAAATCTGTGCCGTCCAGGCCGGCAGTTACCTGCCCTGGGCCACACATTTTTAGAACCTTACTAGCCCATGTGGCATTGCCAGGGGGCTAGAGATATCTGCAAGCCGAGAGGACGAAGGGTGGCAAGACTCAGGACAGGGTCTGTACTAGAAAGGTGAGTTGAAACCTCACGATGATACCAAAAGGCAATCACATTAGTCTTTCTCCACAGCCACAGTATGAGGGAGGGGTCACCACATGACTATTCTTGTAGGTCCTGCCCAGGTTTCTTCCCCAGTGTTTTCTTCCTCTGGGGTGCAGGGTCTCAAACCTCAAACTTCTAGGGCACACTGCTCACTGCCCTCAAGCCAGAGGCTCTCCAGTCTCATCTGTGCCCAGTCTCCCGAGCCTCTTAGTTGGGCATCTTCCTACACTCAAGCCAACTCCACAGGGTCACTGAGGCGCCGCCTCCTAGAAGTCCTGTCCACTAGGACTGAAAGCCCCATTGCTAGGTGCTTGGAACACGAGGCTCAAGCCTAGTCTTGTTACTCTCTGCTTGCAGTCCCACGCACCAAAAGGTCACGGCCCCGGAGCCCGTGAACTCTCCTGTTCCCTAGTCCGCTGCCTCTCTGCCCACACCTCCCGCAATCCCACTCACTTCTCCCAGACACGTCGCTCGCACCTGCGGTCTCCCTCGACACCCACCCCGAGCTCTGCCCACAGCGTGCAGTCTACCCCAGCATGCGGGACCTAGCCCTGCCCAGTCGCTCCGTGGGCTACACCCACTCTGGAGCTGCCGCTCGCACCGAGACCCCAGAGCTGCGCCTCCGGGTGCTGCGACCGCGCTCCCGCCGCCGCGCTCACCCGCCGGGTGGCCATAAGGAGACTCGGCTGCTCCGTCCTGCAAGCTGGCCAGGATCTCGCCCTTGCCCACGTCGCTGTCGCCCACCAGCAGGAACTTAAGTAGAAAATCGTAGGCCCGCACAGGGCTGCCCAGGGCGCTCATCATGCCGGCCTGGCCACCCCTCCCATACCGGCCCCAAGCTGCGCGCAGGCGGCTGCGGGTCCCAGAGCGCCGCGGGGAACGCGTTTGCTCCACCGGCCAGGGGCGCTTGACAGCCGCAGCGCTCCGCCCACCCTATCTCGTCATTGGTGAGTCGCAGTTGCTGAGGTGGATACACATGCTCATTGGCTAGCAAGCTCGTCCATTTAGTTCTCAACGCCTCTGCACCTCGCCCACCGCCTCTCTTGGGAGGACTTGTTGCCTCGACCAATGGAGATCCGGAGGCGGTGATGGGCCGTGCCAGAAGGAAGAGGAGGCGGGAGGTCTGCTTCCACAAACCAATGGAAGAGAGGTATTACGAGGGGAGGCGTGGCCAATGTCACTCCTCCGCCGTGAGCTAGTGCACAGCGGGAGCCGGCTTCAGATTGGTGTGTGGGAAGTGAGACCCTGCCTGGTAACAAGGATTTACCCCGCAACTCCACAGAACTTCGAATGCTAGCATAAGAGCTGTGCACGTGTCCGTGTGGGCATCAGATGGAACTAAAAGATACAGGCAGTTGTGAGTTCCAGGACTAATTGGACACATGGACACTTGCACCCTGGTGTCTGCGCATGGTTGCCTCAAGGTCTCCGTGGGTTTCTCTGTCCATGCACATCAGTGTGTCTGCTTATGTGTGCATCGCGTACCTGTGAAGTTGCTGGCAGCACGTGTTGGGGACCTGTCCGTCTTTGACCTTCTCTTAACCCCTAGGGAGCAGTGAACGTTTGGACAAGGCCGGCTCTCTGTTCTGCAGCTTCTCACCAGTAGGCACCAAGTTACATCGGGTAATTGTGGTTTGTTTAGCATCTCCGCTACATCTTCATACAACCTGAAGTGGAAGAGCTTCTTACACTCTGTGCCTTCTGTTTTATTAAGGAGCATATTGTACTGGTTCATTCAGTTCCAGGAGCGGGTGAAGAAGAAATAGCGGTGGAAGAAAAATACGAACGTGTTTGTGGACACTGTTCTAAGAGGAATGACTGTCCGCAACTTCAGAACAAGGCTGTTTTGACTCAGAACAGACTGGTCTTAGAGCAAGGCGACTGCTGCTTCCCTGCAGGACCATTAATTACCCTTTCAAAAAGAGTTGATCATAATAAGCCCTAGTTACAAAATATGGTTGCAGTTTAGAATGGGTAACTGAGACAGGGTTTCCCTAGGCCTTGGCTGTCATAGAACTCGCTCTGTAGACCAGGTTGGCATCAAGATCTGCCTGACTCTGTCTCCTGAGTCCTGATATTAAAGACATGCTTCACCACTACCCAGGGCTAGGATGGGTGATCTTGCTGAGCCGTTTCTGACCCAGAACAAGACTATCTTTGATTTAAGGCCACACTGTTACTGACCAAGATAAACCCTAGTTGCAATTATTTCAGAGCACCAAGACATTGCAACATTGTCTGTCCACACAGAAAAATCTCCCTGAAAGAGCTCTTTTGAATGCCTATGCCCAGACAGCCTGTCCCTATTGTTTTGCGAGCTGAAGTTGTAGCACAGTGCATCAAATAAATTCTACTTTTGCTCTCTTCTGTCACAATTCCTATCTCACCAGCCTGTTAGTATCATTCTTGTGAGATGACAGCATATGGTTTAAGATTATAGCCAGTCTTACTGATGGTGTCGGAGACCAGCATCAACAAAGATAACACTTATCAGGGTAGGGACATGGGGAATAGAAGAATAAGTAAAGAGAAACAAGATGCGAGTGAAAAATAACAAATCGAAGCATAGGATAGTATCTGGAGGGAGTTCCGGTGAATACTGAACTAATTTCCATTTGCTTAAATACCCCGACCCCAAAAGGTATGGGTAAGGTAAAAAACAAACAAACAAACAAACAAGCAAACAAACTGCATTAACATGATACAAGGAATGAACTGACCAGTTGAAAGATTACAGGATACATTCTTAGCTAAAAATTCTGTGGCCAGAACAAGACAAGTAATGCTCACACCCTAGACCAAAACATTCTGTTGACTTTTGAGGCCAACCAGGACTACACAATGTGACCCTGTGTCAACAAAACAAAACCAATCCCTATGCTTCAAAGTTTTACCTTTGCCTTCATTGAGATTTTATTTATTATTATTATTTCTAAATTTATGTATGTATATGTATGATATATATGTATGTCTGTGTGAGTGTACACTAGCGTGCATGCAGTTGCCAATAGAAATCCAAAGGTGTCAGATCTCTTGAAGATGGAGTTACAGAGGGTTGAGAGCCACCTGATATGTGTGCTGGGACCCAAACTTGGGTCCTCTGGAAGAGCAGCAAAGTACTCTCAACTGATGAACCATGTCTGCAGCCCCCAATTAGGATTTCAACGTGTTCTCTTTGGATTGTCAATTTATTTTACAAAACTTACTACTTACAGACTGATCAGTTGATCAATTGACTGATTGACATGCTGGCAAAGCCACCAATTAAGAAAAAGAAAGCAAGAACTTTACTAAGCTACATCTCAAGTCCCTCCTCCTCCTCCTCCTCCTCCTCCTCCTCCTCCTCCTCCTCCTCTTCTTCTTCTTCTTCTTCTTCCTCAATAGTGGCTTTGCCAGCACGTCAAAGTTCTTGCCTATGGTGGTAGTTTGAATAAAAATGGCTCTCATAGACTTATATATTTGAATGCATCGTCACTAGAGAATAGCACTGTTTTGGAAGGATTAGGAGGTGTGGCCTTATTGGGGTAGGTGTGGCCTTGCTGGAGGAAGCATGTCACTGGGTGTGGGCTTGGAGTTTGCAAAAGCCCACACCCAGCCCAGTGTTTCTCTCTCCCTCTGCCTGCCTGTGGATCAGGATATAAAGCTCTCAGCTACTTCTCCAGTGCCTTGTGTACCACCATACTTCCTGCCATGATGACAATGGACTAAGACTCTGAGATTGTGAGCAAGCCCCAGTTAAATGCTCTCTATAGTAAGAGATGTCTTTGTTATGGAATCTCTGTGTTAGAACAGTGACTAACACACCTACTAAGCACAAAGTCCTGGGTTTGATCCCCAGCACCGAATAAACTAGGCACAGTGGTACATGCCCGTAATCTTAGCACTTGGGAGGTGGAGGTAGGGAGATCAGAAGTTAAGGGTCATCCTTGACTACGTAGCAAGCTTGAAACCAGCTTGGACTACATGAGACCCTGTCTCAAAACAAAATATATAAAAGTCTTCAGCTTACTGCCTGGAATTATACCCAATTTCAGTCTTTCCCTGCTCTGGTACAGGGCAGAACACTTCCTGGAGGGAGTGATAAGTGGCATCTGTCTCCTTTTCTCCCCATGGTTCTTATCATGTCATAGAAGTCACTTTGAAGCTGGTCTTTACTCAGCTTAAACATGGTAGCCACCACCTGAAGGGAAAAATCAAAGGTACCTTGGTATACTGAAGGCCTCCAGGCCACATACGTGTTCAATATTCATGGTTTAGATAAAATGACATAGAATTCACATAGATTCTATAAATATCCTTCTATACTTATGCTTAAAATAATCTCTGGATTATTTTCAATACCTAATACAATGTAAATGATAATAGTGATCCCTGCTAGATTATTTATAATACCTAAGACAATGTAAATTGTTGTTTTTACTGTTTGGAGTATAGTGATAAGAAAAAATCCTGCTTATATCCTGTACAAGGGAAATTTTTTTCATCAAATATTTTTAGGCCATGGTAGATTGAGCCCATAGTGCAAAATATACAGAGGGCCATCTGATATGCCAGAAAGACTGTTGCTACATACAGATGTTCATTTTTTGCCCTGAAATAAATATGAGGCCTACCAAATAGCGACCCAACATGGATGCTTACTTCACAAAGCAAGAGTTTCCACTTGTTTTGAGTTGGATGACCTCTCCAACCCATAATTTCAATAACTGTATAAAGTAGATAGAATGTAGAGAGATGGATACACCACTAACAAATCTCTTCAGTCCAAGGCTGGGCTTCCAGTTCTGCCCCCCTCTGGTTACTAAAAAATTCCTCCTTGTGGTCAAGCTGAAACATCCATGGATTTCTGTCCATATCCTAGTCAGCTCTGAGAAACCAGGCTCTGACTAACAGGAGTCACACAAAAGGACAGACAGAACAGAAAAAGGGGATCTACAATTTCTCATGGTGAAACACAAGAAGGTACATGTGATGTTGACACTTTGGAAGTGAGGGGAGGATGGCTAACATTGCACTTTATGTTTAAATTACTATACGTAAGAGATCTATAAAACAAGCCAGGTGGTGGTGGCGCACACTTTTAATCACAGCACTTGGGAGGCAGAGGCAGGAGGATGTCTGTGAGTTCGAGGCCCTGGGTAGTGGTGTCTGTCCCAATGCCAAATAAAATAAAATCCTGCTCAGCCTTGTCTACAACAGTGAAAAACTTGGAATGAAGGCTGACCCATCACATCTAAGTGGCTCTTCCAAGAGCTAGTTTCAGGACTGGCTCCAAAGCAACACAGAGAAACCCTGTCTCGAAAAACAAACCAAAAAAAAGAGTCCTGAGTCCTGTTTGTTCCTTCTTCCCTGTCTTCAGACACTAGGTCCGTCCCTTTGGAAGAGAAAGCATGGCTCCCAGCTTTGTCCTATGGGGTCAAGATAACTTGATTTGCTCAAGTTCTATTCTCAAATACCCATTAATGGTTCACTGTTGGGGTTTTTGGAAAGATTGCTCAGAGGTTAAGAGTACTGGCTGCTCTTCCACAGGACCTGAGTTCAAATTCCCAGCAACCACATGGTGACTCACAACCATCTGTAATGAGATCTGGTGCCCTCTTCTGGCATGAACAGGCCAGCAGAACACTGTATTATTATTATTATTATTATTATTATTATTATTATTAATAAAAGATTCACAACACTGGTGGTAATCCATGTGTGCCCTGAGTCAAGCAATGGTACTAGGTAGAGTGAATATTTTGTTTATGTTTTAACAAATAAAACTTGCCTGAGATCAGAGGGCAGAGCTGTGCCTCTAGAGGTCAGGGAGTGGTGGCACACACCTGTAATCCCAGGACTCCGAAGACACAGACAGACGGAGCTCTGTTAGTTCAAAGTCACCCTGGGCTACGCAACTCCATTTTGTGCT